CAAACCTGTGGTATATACATATATATATAATGTTATTCAGCCAGAAAAAGGAATGAAGTGTCAATACATGCTACAACATGAATAAACCTATGAAACATTATGCTAAGTGAAAGAAGTCAGATAGAAAAGGTCACTTTTGTATCTGCTCAATACATAAGGAGTTTTACTTCGGAGTGATGAAAACATTTTGGAACTAGATAAGAGGTGGTGGTGCATTACGTTGTGAATTTGCTAAATGTCACTGAGCTGTTCATTTTTAAATGGTTAATTTTATATTGTGTAAATTTCTTATTTTTAAAAAGTAATCTATGACAAAATTATATCAATGTCATTTAATCAGAAGTAACAAACGAAAAGTTAGACACACATTTCTGAAAATACAGAGTTTATCAAATAAAACAATCCCAATTTTTTTCCATGGAAAACTACTTTAAAAGGTAATGCTCTCATTTCCTTTTAGATTACAGTCTCATAGGTCTTACGTGAAACACTGTTAACTGTAAAGCTTATTAAATTTCATTCGCAAGGCCAGTAATTGGCACTTAACTGTGGATACTGGTAGTTTGCAGAACTTAAGAACAGATTATAATTTAAAATATTTAGTTATCTATTAACCAGATCTTGGTTTCTAAATATTATTTTCCAATAAAGATCTATATCTTTTATTGGAGGGTTCTTGGAGAAGGGGCTGATTTCAGGACCAGTGCAGGGAAAATATAGGATGAACGTGGAGCACTGTGTGGTGTCAAAAAGTAAAGAAATGCTTGGAAAAAGATGAGGGCATGTCCAACCTAAAGGAGCTCCCAATGGCCCAAACATGGAACAATAGAGCAACAAAATATATAATTAATGTATTGGATTTTAACTCACAGAATTTAATTAACATCTGTGAGTCTATCCTGATATAAATAAACAATTAAATGAGAGAGAAGGGATGGATATCTCTTCCTTACATAAAAATTCCAATTAACAAATGTAAAAAGAATGAGGGAAACAGAAAAACAGACAGTCGTCACCACAGTATCTGTGAGACACTGGTTCCAGGAACCCCTATCGATACCAAAATCCAGATACTCAAGTCCCTTGTATAAAATGGCATAGTATTTACATATAACCTATGAACATCCTCCTGTACACCTTAAATCATCTCTAGATTACCTGTAGTACCTAATACAATGTAAATGCTAAGTAAATAGTTGTTATACTGTATTGTTTTAGAATTAATGACAAGGGGATAAACATCTGTAAATATTCAGTAGATGCCACAGTCATTTTTTCTCCAAATAATTTAATCTGCAGTTGATTGAATCCATGGATGTGGAGGATATGGGAGGGCCACCTGTCATTAGGCAAACACCTAATAATTGTAGACAAGATCCACTGATGCATGCTAAAATTAGCTGCTGAAAATTTAGAAAGAACTATGATGTTTACATACTTTCGAAGAATCTCCCCCCAAGGTGTTTTTAAATTAGCCTTTCCCCATTCATCCACCCGTCCAACAACTACCTCAAGACTTCAATACTCATCTATAAATTCTTCACCTGCAAAGTCTTTCTTCACCTCCCTGGACTGAAGATGGTTCCTCACCTCCAGGCTCACATAAAATCTTGCACATCGCTCTACAAAAGCATTTACCACATCTTAAATTATTAGTTTGCCTATCTGTTTTCTCCTCTAAACTGTGATTTCCTGGAGGGCAGGTTATGTCTCATTCATGGCTATAGCCCCAGTGCCTTGTAGAATGTCTGCCAAATGGCGGGTGCCCAATAAGTGTTTGTTAAAAGACTGGTAGCATGTTCCTTTTGTAAATATAGAGTATTAGGTGGTGATAAACTCTAGAAATAGAATATAGTTTGATTTTACTGTTTTTACATATATGTCAATATTCTAAGCTAGTAACATTTAGGAATTTGTTTCAAAGAGTTTTACAAGAGCTTTAAACAGATTTACTCTAGCTATTTATCAAAGCAAAAGATTATAGATGCTCAAAGGGCCCTGTTTCCCTTTTAAAACTTAATGCTTTTAATATCACCCAAGTCACCTCTGGGATGCTTTGCTGCTTAGAAATTTCTTCCACTAGATACCCTAAATCATCACTCTCAAGTTCAAAGTTCCATAAGTCTCTAGGGCAGGGGCAAAATGCCACCAGTCCCTTTGCTAAAACATACGAAGAGTCACCTCTGCTCCAGTCCCCAACAAGTTCCTCATTTCCATCTGAGACCACCTCAACCTGCATTTTGTTATCCATTATCATTATCAGCATTTTGGTCAAAGTCATTCAACAAGTCTCTAGAGAGTTCCAAACTTTCACACATTTTCCTGTCTTCTTCTGAGCCCTCCAAACTGTTCCAACCTCTGCCTGGTACCCAGTTCCAAAGTCACTTCCAAGTTTTTGGGTGTCTTAACATAGCAGTGCCCCACTCTACTGATACCAATTTACCATATTAGTCCATTTTAATGCTGCTGATAAAGACATATCCGAGACTGGAAAGAAAAAGAGGTTTAATGGACTTACAGTTCCATATAGTTGAGGAGGCTTCACAATCATGACAGAAGACAAGAAGGCGCAAGTCATGTCTTACATTTATGATGGCAGGCAAAGAGATAGTTTGTGCAGGGATACTCCCCTTTATAAAACCATCAGATCTCATAAGACTTATTCACTATCATGAGAACAGCACAAAAAAGACCTGCCCCCATAAGTCAATTACCTCCCACAACATGCGAGAATTGTGGAAGTTATAATTCAAGATGAGATTTGGGTGGGGACACAGCCAAACCGTATCAGATGGGTAAGAAAAATTTTATTCAAATACCCAATTTTATAGTCTAAAAACACTGAGACTGAGATAAAATAACTAAGATAAGGAAATACTCTCCTGCTTCAATATCCTGTCTTCTTTCCATGATACAAGAATACTTGGTGACAAATCTTGTCAATGCTACCTCACAACAGGCAGTGCAGGCCCTTATCACTTCTCTCCTATATTACTTTAATATTCTCTTAGTTGATGTCCCTATCTCCAAGCCTTGCCTATTTCTAATCTATCCTTCAAACTGCACCCAGAATCATAGTCCTAAAACAAACTTGATAATGTCACTCACTCCCTACTTAAAATTACTTTCTAGAATGGCTATGTCCAAGAGAACTTTCTGTGATGACAAAAATATTCTGTGTGGTGAAATATAATAGCTACTTAGCCAGATGTGGCTATTGAGCACTTAAATTACGTCTAGTATGACTAAGTTACTAAATCTTTAATTTGATTTTAGTTGAAATTTAAATAGCTACATATGACTAGTATCTACTGTATTTGGCATTAGAGCTCTAATCAAGAGGGCGCCTTTTTTGTGATCCTAGTGAAAACCATTAAATAAATAAGTAGAACTAAGAAAAAGTAAAATTTTAAAGCATTTTGTAAACTAAAACACTGTAAAAATATTAGCTGATATTATTAAAAGTATAGGTTATACTGACCTATTAGCATAGCTGCTTTTTTTGGCTTTTCTGTATTTTCTAATCTTTCAGTAGTGAGTCTGTACTATTATCATAATGTTTTTAAATATAAAAACTTGATTTTGAAAAAAGAAACCTAAGTATAAATAGCTCTTTAATAGGCAGAATCAAATATGCAGAATATGTGTGTTACATAGAAAGAGGAGAAACCACTGAAATGAATAGGAAACACTGGGACTCAATTTCCAAAGAATCTCCCAATTCTGTGATGTGGTAACAACTAAAAACTGGTTACATTAAAAAGCAGGAAATACTTCCAGGAAAGCTTCATAAATGCATTAAAGACTTTTTTACTCTGGGGTGTGGTGCTGGCCATCTCAGATCTCAGTGACTTCTCTGTGTCTCACAAGCAGGAGTGATTGCTCAGGTTTTGGGAGGATCTCCATGAACTATGAAGAAATTGAATCCCTGAACAGGCAAATAATGAGCTCTTTACTTGAGGCAGTAAAAAATAACCTACCAACCACAAAAAGCCCATGACCAGACAGATTCACACTGAATTCTACCAAATGTACAAAGAGCCAGTACCATTTCTACTGAAACTATTCTAAAGAATTGAGGAGGAGGGACTTCTCCCTAACTCATTCTATGAGGCCAGCATCACCCTCAGACCAAAACTTGACAGAGATACAACACCAAAAAAACCTTCAGGCCAATATCCTTGATGGATAATGATGCAAAAGTCCTCAACAAGATACTGACAAACCAAATCCATCAGCACATCAAAAAGCTTATCCACCCCTATCAAGTAGGCTTTATCCCTGGGACGCAAGGTTGGTTCAACATACACAAATCAATAAATGTGATTCATCACATAAACAGAAGACAAAAATCACATGATTATGTCAATAGATACAGAAAAGGCTTTTGATAAAATTCAACATCTTTTCATGTTAAAAACTCTCAATAAGCTAGATATTGAAGAAACGTACCTCAAAATAATAAGAGCCATATGTGACAAACCCACAGCCAACATCACACTGAATGAGCAAAAGCTGGAAGCATTCCCCTGACAATAAGCACAAGACAAGGATACCCTCTCTCACCACTCCTATTCAACACAGCATTGGAAGTTGTGGCCAGGGCAATCAGGCAAGAGAAAGAAATAAAGGGCATCCAAATAGGAAGAGAGGAAGTCAAAATATCCCTGTTTGCAGATGACATGATCCTGTATAAAAAACTCCATAGTCTCAGCCCAAAAGCTTTTTAAGCTGATAACTTCAGCAAAGTCTCAGGACACAAAATCAGTGTGCAAAAATCACTAGCATTGAGTCAAGACTGGCTCTAACAAAACAAAACAAAACAAACGACAAAAAAATAATAAAAATAAAAATCACTAGCATTCCTATACACCAAAAATGGTCAAGCCAAGCACCAATCAGGAACAAACTCCCATTTACAATTGCCACAGAAAAAATAAAATGCCTAGGAATACAGCTAATTAGGGAGGTGAAATATCTCTACAAGGAGAATTGCAAACCACTGCTCAAAGAAATCAGAGATGACACAAACAAATGGAAAAACATTTCATGCTCATGGATAGAAGAATCATGGATAGGATAGTTAAAACGGCCATACTGCCCAAAGCAATTTATAGATTCAATGCTATTCCTGTTAAACTCCCACTGACATTGTTCACAGAGCTAGAAACAACTATTTTAAAATTCATATGGAACCAAAACAGAATCCCAATAGCCAAGGAAATCCTAAGCAAAATTCAATTGTGTACTCCTTGCCCCGACAAATTCATACGTTGAAGTCCTAACCTCCAGTACTTCAGAATGTGACTATATTTGGAGACAGGGCCTTTAAAGAGGTAATTAAAATTCAATGAGGTCATTAGGGTGGACCTTAATCCAATATGACCAGTATACTTCTAAGAAGAGGGTATCAGGACACAGACACACACAGAGGAAAAGACCATGTGAAGACAGAGTTTGATGGCCATCTATAAGACAAGGAGAGAGGCCTCAGAAGAAATAACTCTAATGACATCTTCATTTTGGACTTCATGGGTTCCAGAATTGTGAGATAATACATTTCTGTTGTATAAGCCACCCAACCTGTGGTGTTATGGCAACTGTAGCAGGCAAGCACAAGTGCACACGCAAAGTTTTTAAGTGCACACTATAGTCAAAGTAGTTGAAGGAAGAATTCATACTTAGCAAATATTCATGTACTAAAAAATATGAATATATTATTACAATGATCTTATAGTATAAGTTACTCAAGATCAGTAAAAACAATTTGATAAGTAAACCAAAATTGAAGCCTCACCTTCTCTTTTTCTATATGCTTTGAAAAGCGTAAGTTTAAAAGCTGCTCTCCCAAAACATCAGCACCTAAGAAACTATACCCTTAGGATGCAGTTTTTTCCTACTCTAATATCCTTTATTCTAATGAACATGTCAAAATACAGTGTGCAGTTAAAATTTCTACAAAGAGTAAACTTTTATATCTTATTCCTCAAAGAATTTTATCCTGTAAGTCACTTTATCTTAGTAAATGATGCTCAAGAATAAAGTAACTTGAAAATTTTAGGATCAAAAGTAGGTGTGCTTTAGTTATTGAACCACAACTGACAACAATCAGTGGTGCTACTCCACCACGGTACCATATGCCTAATGACAGAAATGCAATGGACAAACTTATGAGGCTGCCTTGAAGAAAGTTAGCTTTCAATTCCAAATGTATAGCAGTGAAGCAAATATTAATTATTATGTTAGACTTTTGTTTTGGTTAGGTTATAGGGCTTAATCATTCATTTCACAATCAGAAGATTCTGATTGCCTACACATGGAAGATAAAAACAAAAAGATGTCTGGAATATATTAGTCTTTTAGGCTTATAAAATCTTATCTCCTCCGCAAGATACATAACTACTTGTAGGAAAAAGCGTTGTAAGAGTTCAGAGGAGGGAGAAAACAAAGTCTTATGAGCTTATCAAGAATGGTTTAAGGGAATGAACTGACCTTTGATCTAACATTTGAAAAACAGGCAGGAGTTAGAGAGAGGGCATTTCAGACATAGGGTATGGCATAAATGAAAAATCAGACACAAAAAAAACGCATGGTCCAAGGAATGGGGAGCAATACAGGATAACTGGAGGGACAGGGTATTTGTAGAGAAATAGTTTACAATATGGCTAACAACGTAGTTAGGTGGAAATTTTTAAGGCTAAGATGTAAAGCCCACTGACGTTCATGCAGGGAAGTGATGGGATAAAAGTTATGCCTTAGGAAGAATAATCTAGATGTGCTGAATAGGATGAAATGAAAGGGCAAGTCCCTAAAAGCCGAGAGAAAAGCCATGCATTACGTAATAAGGACCTAAAACTAGGGCAGAAGTTAAAGGACTGAAAAAGACAGAAAAGTCCATTGCTACCACAAAGAAATGTTCACCTACCTCACAGGATTACTGTGAAGACCAAATGACATTAAATAAAGACTTGAAAAGTATCTTTACTCAGTAGTGGCAAATCCTACAAGGGAGTCAAGAGAGCACAGATGAAGACTTCAGGGAGATGTATTTTAGGAAAGGAAGGAGAAAATCAAAACAACAAAAATATCACCTTTTGCAGGTAACTATGTATACCTGTTAAAATTACTAAAATCTTAAGTATTAAGACCTAATTTTGGTCAAGATTGACAACCAATGAAAAAATGCTCACAAGTAAAAAGAAATAGAATTTAAAATTATCCCAATAATGCAAAACTTATGTACATTTAAGAACAGAGATTCAAAGGAAAAAGAAAAAATTATTTAACATGTGAGGCTGTAGATACCTGTCTTAACGTTTTATTACATGTGGTTTTGTATAATTAAAATGGGGAAAATATAAAGCATAAGAATAGTATACAGAATGGGCACTTTTATCTCTTATTATATACCTTATTTTACAATATGGGAAAGAACATGGTTTTCTTTGATAAAGCAAAATAACAATATAACAATAAATGATATTAAGTGTATAACAATAATTAAATAAATTCTGTATTTATCATTTTATTAAAATTTTGATGTAAGTTTCCATTCTATTTCTACCACCCTGCCCAGTGACAAGGGTTCTTTATCTCCACTGGCTACTCACAAACCCCATTAGAAACCCACCAGCCAGCAATATTGTATTTATCAGGGATTCCTCACTGCAAGAGGGGATAGGTTTCTGATTCCCCTGAAATTGCATGCAAAATGAAGCATATATGTATGTGTATTTTTCTAGGAAGAAAGTCTATGGCTTTTATCAGATTCTCAAAGGGCCTCATGTTCTAAAAGAAAGTTTAGAACACTTACAAAATTTTCTCCTCTTCCTAATCATTTTAACAACTAGTTAAAACTAATGTGTCAAGAACTTAGAGAATGTTATTTATTCAACTATTTCTGAATAAGGAATAACCTGAATTCCTCTTCTCAAGCCCCACTGCCACTTTTGACTAAGACCTTTATATTTCCATTCCTTATCATATACAGCCCAGGTAAGGTGTATCTTTATTTACAACTTTTATAGCATTGCTGCTGTTCTTCACCACCCCTTAGAATCTATTTCTACCTTCTTAGATGAATTCAGAACCTATCTTACTTTTTCTACCACAGTACTTCCATTTTCCCAACACTAGCAAATACTAAACTCATCATTAAATTCAATTTTTCTAATCCTACTCTTAGATATACAAATATGACAAGAACAATACAAATTTGTCCCATAAAAAATTCATGTGAACTTAAACTTACTCTATGTTGCTCCTAAATACAATCACAAAGTAGAGGTACTATATACAAAGGGTTGGTCCTAAAGGATTTCAGTGAGGAAACAAGAGAGTTGCAAGAAACCTTAGAGATCTGCTAGTGAAATATTACTAGTTTACAGAATCTGATGTCCAAAGGAACAAGTTATCTGCCCAAGATAATTAACAGTACAAGCAGAGCTCAGGTGATGAAGTGTCCTGGTCCAGTGTTCACTCCACAATACCATGTTACGCCCTTTGTATAACAGTTAATTCATTATTTTTAACATTTAGAAATAAAAATCCTTTAAGTCATCTGTATTTTCTTTACAGTAAGGCTTACTACTACCTCAAGCCCTCTTAATAGTATTCAATATCATTCCTTCCAAGCTTACTGGGTGAGAACAATGTAGGGGACAATTAAAAGCCTTACTGAAATCAAGATAGACTGTTACTCACTCACATGAAGAATTGGTTTGGTATGTCTTGCTCTTCACAAAACCAAGTTGGCTGCTTCCTAATAGCTAACATTTTTCTAATGACAGTAAATTATGGTTTAAAAATTTTTAAAGTCTTTCTTGGTCTCCTAATAAACAGGCTATGCTTTTAAGGTTTGTGTCCCCCCAAAATTCCTATATTGAAACTTAATTACCAATGCGATGGTATTAAAAGGTGTGGCCATTGGGAGGTGATTAGGACAGGAGATTTGAGCTCTCATAAAAAGAATTAGTCCCCTTATAAGAGAGGCCAAAAAGCTGCCTTGTCTCTTCTACCATGTGAGGACACAGCTAAAAGCCACTGCCTATGAACCAAGTGTCTAATGAGGGCTTGTATGGGGAGCGAGACCTCACCAGACACTAAATGTGTCAGCACCTTAATCTGTGAGAAATAAACTGCTCTTGTTTATAAGTCATGTAGCTTCTGGTATTTTGTTATGCCAGCCCAAACAGACTAAGATAGACTATTAGTTTAAGAAATTATTTCTCATATGCACATTAAATCCCTCTTCTTGCAAATGAAGTCCACATCTTTATATAATAACCGAATGTTCCAAGTAAGTTTAGGCATCATTGAACTACAAATAACCCCTTCGGGTACTTTTATTTTTTGAGACGGAGTCTCACTTTGTTACCTAGGCTGCAGTGCAGTGGCATAATCTCAGCTCACTGCAACCTCTGCCTCCTGGGTTCAAGCAATTCTCCTGTCTCAGCCTCCTGAGTAGCTGGAACTATAGGTGCACATCACCATGCCCAGCTACTTTTTGTATGTTTAGTAGAGACGGTATGGTATTACAAAATAATTATTGAATTTATACCTTAGGATAATCATTAGTATATAGTGTAATATTAAAGCTGAAAGGAACCTAAAAGCAGTGTTATGAAACAATATTAGTGGGTTGGATTAGCACTTTTTAGATGAAATTCAGTAGAATATAAAAAAAAAAAAATAGCAGAGCTTTTTACATCTTAAGCGTAAAAAAAAAAAAAAATAGCAGTACTTTGTACATATAGTGATATTGGTCAGGTCTCGAACTCTTGACCTCAGGTGATCTACCCGCCTCGGCCTCGCAAAGTGCTGGGATTACAGGTGTGAGCAACTGTGCCAGGCCCCTTCAGGTACTTTAAGTGTCATTAAATCACCTCTCACCCTTTTCAGTTCCATGACATAATCCACTTAAAGACATCCTTATTTCTCCTCTAAGTTCTGTTTTTTATTCTTATAGTACATTTTGGTTCTGTTGAGTAATCACTATAGTTTCTTCATATACATCTTATATTGTGAAATTTAAACTAGAACCTCTAAAAAGTAGAGTAGGAGGATTATTTGCCTATTGTTATTATTATATTCCCACTTCAGTTAATATGAAAGCCAGGAGTAAAGTATTTTAACTTTTATCTTCTTGGTTAACTATTAGCAGCCAATGGTGGAAGAGTGGAAAGATGGAATTTGCTGCTGGAAGAAATTAAAGCTCCCATTCTTTGTCCATGAGGTCAGAACCAATAAATGAAAACAAAACAGTACCTATCCAAAAGAACTACCATATTCCACAGCCCAGCATATACCAGGTGAGAAATACATTTTACAATGAATTCCAGTAATCACATACATGTGGGATTATATATATGTGTGTATGTGTGTGTGTGTACACACACATAAAAGTGCATGAAACAACACTTAAGATGTAAAAAGCACTGCTATTTTCTTTTTTATTCTACTGAATTTCATCTAAAAAGTGCTAATCCAACCCACTAATATTGTTTCATAACACTGCTCTGAGGTTCTTTTCAGCTCTAATATTATGCTATATACTAATGATTATCCTAAAAGTATATATTTAATAATTATTTTGTAATCTTAATCACAAGTCATGAATTTGCAAGTACCTCAGGTTAGCTCAGCTTCTACTTTGAAAACTTTATAATCATTCCTTCCTTACCCTGTTAAATCCATATTTTAAAAAAGGATGGCAAGAGTTCCATGCCTTTAAGAAAGAGAAAACAAAGGTAACACCTTTCCCTTGTTTTTCACACTGAGGAAATGGTAACCAAAGGAAATGGTAAGATGTAAAGGACAGAGTGGAAGAAGGAAGTCATGGAGATAATGCTCTTGGAAAGAGAGAAAGCTAAATATGTATTGCTATTGCCACCACTGAGATTCCTAACAACTTTTCCTTTTCCCTCTTCCCCCTCATTCTTCCAGCTTAAGAAAGTCCTACAAATTTTATCTTAACTTCATCTGCTTTATTGGAGAACTATAGAATAAAAACCATTCCCAAGAGATCATGTGTTACAAACTTTCAATCATAAAATACTTTAAAAACATTAATAAAATCATCTGGATTTGCTTCTCTAGCCTAACCTTCTGCTATTTCCTATCTTGAACGCCTCACTACAGTCTAAACTATGTGCAGTTCTACAAAAGTTCCATGCTCTCTCTGACCTGCGGGCCTTTGCACATGCTATTCCTTTTTTAACTGACAAACTTCTAATTTTTCAGTTCTTGCCTTAGGTATCAGTTATTCAAGGCAATCTTCCCTACCTTAAGATTAGACTTAGTGCCCCTCATATGTACTCTCCCATACCTTGTACCTTCCCCATTATTACACATTTCTACTATATTTTAATTGCCTATTAATTTATATATTTCTGACTAGATTTTAAGTTCTTTAAAGATGGGGCTTATATTTTGTTTTGTTTGTTCCTGTAGAGGTATTCAATAATTACCGAATAAATTATAAGTCTCATTCCATCAGCCTTCCACATGCTTAGTGTCATTCTCTATTTCTCCCTGTTCAGAATATTCTTCCCAGTTGTATCACCAGCATGAAATACTCTCTATAATCTGGTCCTTAATTATCACTATTTCCTCTGGATGCCTATACCCTTTACTGCACATACTATTCATTTGCTCATTAACCCACCATTGTGTTTTTCAGTTATTTTTGTCATGCATAGATCCAGTCTCCTTAACTAAACTGTACAATCCTTGATAGCACAACTGTATGTCTTTCTTAGTATCCTATTATCTAGCACAGGGCTATGTACAAGGTAGACGTTAAATATTTGTAGATGAAGAATCAAAATGTAAGCAGTAGTTTCTCATACAAAGCTGACAATATTTTAAAGTGCTACTGATAAATAAGTGATGGCAATTAAACCTCTTGTCAATACATAGAAAATAAAAAGATATACTTTAGTACAGTTAAGTACAAATAATTTTTTTAAAAACCGTTCCTGAGAGGTAATAATGAACTCAAATATTAAGAGGCACTACAACCATAGCTGCATTCATAAGTTAAGGATCCCTATGGCTACCAAAATGACCTGTGCACAGAGAACATCACTGTATTTTTCAGATCTAGGACAATCATATTTATATACGAATTTAAGGCAGTCTATGTTTTGGAAAGATAGTTATGGTTTTGGCCTATCAGGGAGCACGCCTGTCAGCAAGGGAGTTAACTGACACCACTTGGTTATAGATAGCTTGCTGTCATTACAGTGCTCTCCGAATTGCTAATTCCAACTGAGTAAAATCTGAACCACAGATAAACGGGTCCCAAATTCTATTACTAATTGGGGAAAATAACCCAGTCTTCCTCGTATTTAGAAAGGTAAGCAGGCTGGGAATGGTGTCTAACCCATCTCTTAATGTGGGGGAAAAACTGTGACTCCTACGAGAGGGTCCAGCGCTCCAGGTGTTCTCTGCCCAGAACCTCTTGCCCCATTTCCCTTTGCCGAACCCAAAGGTTTTCTTCTTCATCCTTTCTTCAAATTACTGACGTTAATTTCATTCACTTACTGCTGCTCCGTGTTAGCCATGACTTTCTGCTTGGTGCTCTCTCTGCCCCGAGGTCACGAGGGCACCTTTTCTCTATAGGTCCCCTTGTCCTTCACCCTATTTTTCAGTGTCAATGGCAACTCACCTGGTAGGCTCGAGCGGTTCCCAAGGCGCCGAGTTGTAACCTCCATTGCAGACCTGAGCCGCTAACAGAAACTAAAGGCCGAATCAGAATCGCGGAGTGTCGGCGCTTTTCGAAAGCAGCCGCCGCGGCCGCCCAACGCCAAGAATGCATCGCGAGCAGCGCCATCTTGAGCGAGGAAAGAGGAACCGAGAGAAGAGGATTGTGGGACACTGGCGGACTGAATTTGGCTATCTTAATTGTCCCTCCTCTCGTTTTCCCAGTGCCCCAGACCGGAAATGGATTCTGTTTGACGATTCGGAGGTATTCGCGCGGCCTCTTCCCCCTTCACTCCCCACGCTGAGCTTTGATTGTTTTCCTTGCACAACCGGGAATATTGGAGTAACACTCTCTTTTTCTCTTTTCCTGGAGTTGCCAGATGAAATACAGGATGCCTACCTAGTTAAGTTTCAGTTTCACATAAACAACGAATCATTTATTCGTACGTGTGCCCCACATATTGTATTTACTAAATCTGCCCAACCCCATCTTTGTCTGTCATTCTCTTACCCCCTCCAACTCAATGCCACGCTTCCCTCTCTCCATTTTCCCTATGCATATTCTTATCTCCACTCTCTGAATTAAGGAAAGATTAAACTACAGACGTTAATTTCCCCTGGGAGGAGGTTTCGATGTGAGATTTACTGTCTTTCCGTCCCATAAGCACTTTTACTTTGCTGATTGTTCTCTGTTGCACAAACCTTGAGGCAGTTTTGCTTTGATCTGTTGCTCTTGGAACAGTCACACACACATACACACACACACACACACACACTACAGACATCTTTACTAATTTTGTCATCCTTTCTAGCCCTTTGCTTTGGTTTTTGCAGCGTCCCTAATTATTGAAAAATCGCTAGGTTGGCTGAAGGGTGGTAAAGTGAAATGTATGGAGAGAAGTACATGTTTAAAGACAGGTTTATGTTCTTTTGCCACCACTATCATCAAACAAAATGTCAAAATATGTTTACAGCCATCTAGGAAACTACATTTCCAGTTGTAAATGTTACCTGAAACCCCAGAGACAATAATGCAGTTGGAATTTTATATTCATTGCTGCATGCTTCAACTTTTCACACAAAAGAGACAAATAATTATGGACTTCTTAGGAAGAGGTACTTTGGACAAGTAAGTCTGTTAAAGAAAACTAGAAATACATAGCCCATGCAGTTAGCATCTGGGATTCATATTACACTCCCAGATGTCCAGGAAAGGGGATGCTTGAGCTAGTTATTTAAAGAAAAATAGAATTCAAGTTGAAGAGGTTGACTGGAATTACATGTAAAGAAGAGGACATGTTAAAAGCAAGAAGGCATAAGAAAACATTTTCAGGTTCAGGAGTCTATGGAGTTTGGGAAAGTAGTAGGAGATTAACCTGAGTGAACAGAGACCTGATGGTAAAGGGCCTTCCATTTCATTCTGAGAAGTTAATACTTTATCCTATAGCCAGTGAAGAGTTTTAATAGGGAGAGTAACATGATCAGATTTATATATCCATTGAGCCACTCTGGCTTAAGTGAGAAGGTTGGACTGGACAAAGTTCGTATTCAAGTCATGAAGCTAATGCAATAGTTCAGTCATAAAATAAAGGCCTGAACCTGGCAGTAGCAGTGGCAGTAGATAGATTACAGGGCTATTAGGAGATGGAATTGGCAAGACTTAGTGACTAATGGGATGTTTCTAGCTTATTATTGTATTTTGACAGTAGATCAGTAATGGTCTCTTACTAATGACTATATTGTCATAAATAGATATTTATTCAGCATCTATTCTGTGTTAGCTACAGTATACATTAGAGAAACTCTAGACTCCACTACTAAGATTTATTTTAGGGCTGAATATTGCCACTGAAACTTACCACCCAGTTGTGAAGTCTTTGAATGGAGCCAAAGTATTTTTTTTTTCAAAAGTAGTGCTCATGGTAAGCCATCTCTTTTGATCAAAAGATGTGAATAACATTGGAATACCCAAATAGTTACTCTACAATGAGCTAGAGTGAGGCAAATATTTATTTGCAAAATAAGCCAAAGAAAATTTCCCGGGCACCCAAAGATAGAACGTGAAGCATAGTAAGAGTTGCACACTGCTGGGGAAGAGCAGCAACAAAAAGGCCAACTCAGCCTGTAAAAACTTGACACCTAACTGTCTGAAATAAATTAAAGAGACAGAGGTATACACAATAAAAGCTGCTATAAAAAAAACTACTATAACAGCAGATCACATGATATCACTTTATGTAGGCAATAATTATACTTAAATGTGTATAATATTTTGTAATTTACCATTTGCTTTGTCATACCTATTTCATTTAGTCCGCACATCAACTGTGGAAGATAGGTATTATTTATTAATATTCCCATATTTATGAGGAAACTGCAGCTAAGAAAGGTTGTGACTAGGTCGGAGGCCACAGAGCTAATGGGATGAAGACCAAACCTAAGTTTTATGACTCCAAACACAGTGCTCTTTTCACTTAATAACACCTGAAATGTGGAAGAAACACTTGAGCAATTTAAGAAGGCCACAGTGGTCTTCTGTTTCTAAAAAATGCCAGAACTTATTCTCACCTTAGGACCTTTCCACTTGCTTTTCCCTTCTACCTGGAATATCTTTCCTGTAGACTTTTAAATGACTTTTATCATTCACGTCTCAAAACAAATGTCTCCTGCTTAGAAAAACTTTCCAAGAGAACCTTATCTAAAGAGGCCACCCCCGTCCCTGCCACTCTGTATCACATTGCCTTGTGTTATTTCCCTTAAAATCTTGCTATTCGAATGGGATCCACGGACCACTAGAATTGGCATTACTTGAGAGGTTGTTAGAAATGCAAAATCTTTTCTAGCTATTTTGGACTATACAATAAATTATTGTTAACTATAGTCACCTACCCTACTGTACTATAGGACACTAGATCTTATTCCTTCTAATTATATTTTTGTACCCATTAACCAACCTCTTTTCCTTGCCCCCTCCCTACTGCCCTTCACCTTCTGATAACCACTATTCTACCCTCTACCTCCACGAGATCCACTTTTTTAGCTCCCATATATGAGTGAGAACGTGTGGTATTTGTCTTTTTGTACCTGGCTTATTTCACTTAACATGATGACCTCCAGTTCCATCAATGTTGCTGAAAATGACAGGATTTCATTATTTTATGGCTGAACAATATTTTATTGTGTATATGTACCACATTTGGAAGAAAGAGAACATTCCCAACATAAAGAAAAGCTAAATGTTTCTTTGATTTTAACTTTGTGGTATATATTGTTTATGATATAATATGCATGTATCAAAATATCACATGTACTTCAACAATATGTACAATTATTACATAGCTATAAAAAAAGAAATGCAGAATCTCAGGCCTGATGCCAGATCTGAAGATTCAAAATCTGAATTTTAATTAGAATGCCTCAGGTTGTTCATATGCACGTTCAAGTTTCAGAGGCACTTCTAGAGCACCTATCACTTTCTGAAACTAACTTCTTTATTTTTCACGTGCTTTTAATATTTGGAAATATTTAGTTGTAACTGAAAATTACAAAGAAAAATATAATCACCATGTACCTACAACCCAGCTTAGTCATAGCTTAATATTTTGCCTTTGAGCTTTCTTCTTTTTTTTTTTTTTGAGACAGAATCTTGCTCTGTCACCCAGGCTAGAGTGCAGTGGCACGATCTTGGCTCACTGCAACCTCCAACTCTTGGGTTCAAGAAACTCTCCTGCCTCAGCCTCCCAAGTAGCTGGGACTACAGGCGTGTGCCACCACACCTAACTAATTGTTTAGTATTTTTAATAGAGACAGGGCTTCACCTTGTTAGCCAGGATGGTCTCAATCTCATGACCTCGTGATCCACCCACCTTGACCTCCCAAAGTGCTGGGATTACAGGCATGAGCCACCATGCCTGGCTTGCCTTAGCTCTTAAAAGTAGTAACTTAGTTGAAGATCCCTGCATTGCCTTTCTTTAATCCTAGTCTCTTTATCCTTGTGGATTTATTTCTGTTTCATTATTTTATGCTATTATGGTGGAATCTGTAAAGAAGAGATAATAAATAGGTTTCATTAATCCACTGTGATTATCTGGATGTCCTACGTATTTTATGAGGCTAGTATAAACTTAATACCGTACATGAACAAGGACCATACAAGGAAATTATAGGTCAATCTTGGTTATTAACATAAATGAAAAACTTTTTTAGAATAGTAGGCTCAACATGTTTAATGACAGTATACCTCTTATTTCTGGTTTTAATTTGTCTTGACAGAATGCATCCTTTAGTGATTCTTTTACTGAAGTTCTGTACATAGTAACTTGGAGTCTTGAAGTTCCTGAAGATACCTTTATTTCATCCTCATTTTGCATAATAGTTCAGCTGAGTATCAAGTTTTAGGGTGATAGATTACTGAATTAAATTTCCATGGAAATAAATAACAAATTTTCCTGTCATTACATAATCTGTTCTTTTTTTTTTCTTTTGGTGGTGAGAGTCCTTGTACACTTTGTAATTTTTTATTATAATTTCTTCTTTAAGAGGTTTTTTTTGTTATAATCTCTTTCCTAAGAATTCTGCACATACATTGGGTTACAGAAATGCCACTACAGGACAGCTTGTGTTTGCTTCTACAGTGTTCCTACAGAATTTACCAGTTTGAGACTAGTTTTTACTCTTTATTTTTCTGAGATTTGGTTTTCCATGCCATCTATCTAGTATGTGTGTGGACCCTGCACCCATGCACAGTGCAGATTTTTCATGGAGGATCCACAACTGAGAATAGATTTATTGCTTTCAGGACCACATTCCCAGGCTAAGGATCAGAGTTTTTCTAGTACTTCGTTTTGCAGGACTCCCAAATCCAGCTCACTATCTACAAATTGGACCTGTGGCCTACTACCCATTTCAGTAGGGCATGTAAACTCAAGCCACACGGGAGTGGAAAAGGATTTGACTACATAGGAGCATGGGAGAATTATTTAACTGTTCTTTATCTTCATTGTGATGGTTGTTAAACAACTGCATGCATTTTTAAAACTTGCAGAACTGTATATTAAAATAGTGATTTTACTTTATTACCTTAATTTATAAAAGAAAAAAAAGTACCCCAGACTTTGTCTTACATCTGTTTTATCTATTGGTCATTGGTCTTCAACTCGTTTATTGTTCTGGCTGTGATTTTCCTCTTTGCTACTAACCTCTAGACATTTCCTTTGTTTGCTTTCAAGCTCAACTATGCATTTTTTAGAAACCATGGAGCTTTTTGTTGCTATTTTTATCCAACTTGTCTGTGTTTGGAGCCTGTAGTGTAGTGTCTCTTACATCTTATCAGTTAGGCCTCTTGTCTCTATTGCATACCTCTTAACCTGGTATTTACA